CACATGGGCCCAGGTCATCACTGGAGAACAGAAACTGGTGGGCCAGTTTCTGGCCTTGTTTTTCCCAGGGCAGTCCCCGCTGAACTCCAGTCTTGGGACCAAAATGGACAGAGCCCAGGAGAAGGTGCCAGGCTGCATGCACATGGCATAGGTAGGGTGTTGAGGGGGTTGGAGGGGTGGCAGAGGGGGCAAAGGACCACATGAGGTTTGGAGGGAGGAGGGTGACCCCTTTCTGCCTCCAGTCTGTACCTGAGGGGGCAAGTGCAACTCCTGCTGCCGTGGCTGCTCCTGTGGGAATTCATACATCAGGATCCAGTGTCACCTGCCTGCACAGCCCCTCCCACCAACCCGGGGAGCCTGCAAAAAGCTGGGGGCAGATCTGCATCCACTTGTGGCAGAGCATGCTGCTCAAAGCAACCAGTGCAGGGGCTGCTGGAGGGTGGAAGTGGAAAGCCATGGGTGCCCCTTGTCTGTGGGATCCCAGGGCAGGCAGGGGGAAGAGCTTACCTCCTCAAACAGGGGTCTGGGTGCTGTAGCACCTCTGAGGAGGGTCTCACAGCACCTCAGTTGAGAGTCACTGCCTTAATGAACCAGGTCATAAATTATTGCACTTTTACTTTTGATGGGATAGAGTAGAGAGACAAAAATGACCATGCACTAGCTGAAACAGAGTAAGTCCGGCTCACTCATTGCAGTTGGTATGATTATTTCCTGTCCTAGAGTATCCAGGTTGCCTTGCGCTACTTTAAAATTGGAATCTCATTGAGGAGGTCTCTGAATGTAGCTACAGCCTGGGAAGTGGCCTTTCCAGCTTTCAGTTGGGGCTGCGTAAAGAAACTTGCAAAGCTGCTGTACTGGTTCTTTCACAATTTCTGGTAAGGGAAGGAGGAGAAACACCAAAACTTATCTCGCTGCTCAAGCTTGCCAAGTCCGTACTTGCAGCTGAGCATGGGGAGAGAATCCTGCCACAGAATACTGCCCTGTTGGAGAGGCACGATTTCCTACTGGGTAGGGAATTGCACTGGGTGGCAGAAGGCCTGGATTCTGTCTCCAACTCTACCACTGGCCTACTGGGCTGAGGTACTTCATCTCTCCATGACCCCATTTCCTTTGCCTGTCTTCTCTACTTAGGTCTTCATGGTAGGCAATGCCTTATGACATGGGTACTACCCCTAGCGCAGTGGGCCCTGATCTCATTTAGGACTTGTAAGGCCCTGCTGTAATAAAATTAATGTGTAATAATAACAGTGCTGTGCCAAATGCTTATCTCACCCCCTTTCCCCCACCCCATCCATGACTTTCAGTTTGCCCAGGGGGAAGCCGTTACTTGTGTGTGTGGATAAGCTTGTGTATTCTTTGTGATAGGAGAACAGCTGTCAATATTGTATGTACCAGTTCCCTCTTATCAGTTTTAGCCATGCATTTGCAAGGTTTCCTCTTTTAATCAGATTGCATGGAACAATTAAATCCTTTGAGGGGTCGGGATGCTTTATTTATTGAATTCTGTGAAGCTGGGGTTTGCCTGCTTCAGGATCTTAAAACTGTCAGTGGCTGTAGGCATAGGCTAAGATTTAGTAGCTAATAACCCTTTCATGACATGAGCCTTTAGTTTGACTGGGTGAAATCCTGCCTCTTAGGTCCCATTCTAACCATAAAGCCAGTTTTGAGGAGGATCTGTTCCTGGTATTCTATCCCCAAGGCACATTTGTATTGCAGTTCTGCCCTGCAGTGTAGACAGGACTTGAATGTGCTCTAGCTGCTCTTCCCGCCACACCCAGTACAAAAGATGTTTGAGCAATGTGGGAAGCTGAGTACAGTAGCTCCCATGCAGCTCCCAAGCCTGAAACCAGGTTGGTCACATGGTGGAGACAATTTATGTTGAGCGAGAGTCCCACAACACACTTAGTTGTTTCTCATACTGAAGGTAGAGCCATGATGCCAGTATCTAAGCCCACTGCTTTAGCCTAGTAAGAGGAATTTTTGTCCTGGCATTGTCTTCACCTTGGTCATTGTGTTGACATGTGCCTGGGAACGCCACCAAGCTGGGTGAGAGACCTGCCTGGAGCCTCAAACTCATGTTTTAGCACATTTGGAAGACTCCTTGCTTAAGAGCTGGGTAGGCAGATGAGGAAACCATGTAGCTGTCTGAAGAACGCAGAGTGCTCCAGACCTTGCTCTGTGCCCATATTACCATAAGGGAGCTGAATTTGACAGTCTCTTTACTTGGTTAATTAATGTTTCTTAGCTCCAAACAGATTCTTGGCTTTCATCAGAATTGAACGCCATTGAGTCCATTTCCTGCTAAGGCTTTTTTGTTTGGTAGAAGCTGCATGGGGTGCTGAAAAGGGGTGTGGGTTGTGTGAGCTAAGATAAAAGGAAACATCTCACCTTGCTTTATGGAAATCAGAATCTTATTTCGCTGAGCATCTCCCAGAATGTCTTCTCAGCCTGGCTAACCGGTTGGTCCAAGGACTGTACTTAGTCATGTAAGTGCAGTCCTTGGTCAGGTTAGCTAGGCTGAGGAGTGTAGCTGGGGGTTAGTGGTGTGAGCAGAGGGTTTGGTAGCTCCAGAGATCAAGTCCAAGCCCTGACATGGCCCCCCTCTGCGGTCTTGGGAAATGCCACTCCAGAGCCCAGTTCACCATTGCTCAGTGGCCCCTCTGGAAAAGAGCTGTGAAGCAGATTTAAGCCTGATGAAAGCCACTAGCACAGGGGGCCGCTCCACTAAGTGCTTTCCTGCTTTGGCCGACATTGCACCCAGGACTCTGTGGGGGAACATGCAGTGTTTGAGGTGGGTTGGGACCATTAAGGG